GTACATAATTGGAATACAGTAGAACTATATACAAAAGATGAGGTAATCACTCCCTCAGCCTTAGTGTTCACAGCATCGTGGAGAAAATGGAGCAAAGGAGTCTACAATAAAGATATCCAGATGTTGAAAGTCTTAACTTTCATATTGTCAGTATTTTATCCCTTGCACAACTTGTCAGACACTGCAACATCATGGAATCTTGGTTCAGAGGACATCTGAAAAACTTTCTTCACGGCTGCTAAAACTAGCCCATCTCTATGGGTAGGACCTACTTCCACTGAGGTATCCCGCCTACCAGTGACTATGCCCTAGTCTGCTGCACGTCCTTTTCCACTGACTCTTGTATAACCCCCTGTCTTGCCTTTGCTCCAGATTCTCCACCACGATGCTGTGAACACTAACTCCAAGGCTGAGGGACCGATTACCTCGAGTTAGTGTTCACAGCATCGTGGTGGAGAATCTGGAGCAAAGGCAAGACAGGGGGTTATACAAGAGTCAGTGGAAAAGGACGTGCAGCAGACTAGGGCATAGTCACTGGTAGGCGGGATACCTCAGTGGAAGTAGGTCCTACCCATAGAGATGGGCTAGTTTTAGCAGCCGTGAAGAAAGTTTTTCAGATGTCCTCTGAACCAAGATTCCATGATGTTGCAGTGTCTGACAAGTTGTGCAAGGGATAAAATACTGACAATATGAAAGTTAAGACTTTCAACATCTGGATATCTTTATTGTAGACTCCTTTGCTCCATTTTCTCCACGATGCTGTGAACACTAAGGCTGAGGGAGTGATTACCTCATCTTTTGTATATAGTTCCATTGCCTTCCAATTATGTCCTAGAATCTATTGATAAAGCCACTGGATGGCGAAACGTCTACAATAAAGATACCAGATGTTGCAAATGCGTCTTAACTTTCATACTGTCGGTATTTTATACCTTCCTTGCACAACTTTGTTTATCTAGGTTGGGATTGTTTCACTAGCCCCGTTCAAAGCAGGCGAAACTGCAGGTCTGCAGAAGGTACACAGGACTTTCACTGTACGTGAAGGCAAAGTAAAGCACCTCAACTGCTGGGAACTTTAATGCACTAGACTTTTGCTTCGAGCACAGGCGGAAATGGTAAATTATAATTAACACCTGGGGAAAATTAGTGCTCCCAAATCAGTACAGAAATGTCAGATCGCAACATTTGGCAGGCTCCCATATCTCTCCCTCCAATGAAAAGTCAAGGGTGCCGACAGTAAAAGTTAAGGTCCATGGTTGTTCGATAGCCTATCATACACAAGGGGTAGATAACCAAAAGACACCTATCCGTCTTCAAGAGGAAAATTGATTGATACTCTAGTCTGCCTGACCAGCCAGGACTGCGTGCAGCCGGCAGTAACTACCTGGACGAAGCCTTGATCCACCGAGAGGTCTGGTCATGGACCGGGCCGTAGGGGCGTTCATCCCCGGAACGTCTTCAAGTTACCCAATCCATCTTCTAGGGCATTAATGCTCAAATACCAGTCAATTAGGTTTTTTTGTGCACTCTGAATTCGTGGTTTAAGTAATAACTAGGCAAGGACTGCCTAAGCCTTTATGGACCTTCAACACTCTTCGACAAGCAACAAAACTCAGCATGAAATAGCACTTTCCCTTCAACGGTGAGGTTGGCTAAGGTCGATACTAGCAGAAATGTAGCAGGTCATCAGTATCTTGTCTGAACTAAGCAAACCGTAAGGATGAGTACATTGTCAATGTACTGCTGCACAAGCTTGTCGGCCGTACAGCTATCTCCAGCCATGCTAATCTATTCCTTTACAGCTAATATGGATAAGTTCTACTCGTGTACACAGATTGCCCGTCCAATTTTAGCAATTAAACTGCCAACCATGCCAATCATAACAATGTTCAGGAAATGAAAGAAGTGTACATTATCACTAAACACTGACAGCAAAAGTCGAAGCCGACAGGTTGTAATGAGTCACTAGTAAAGACTAGAGACTATTTTGAAGAAATAGCACAACGAATGTTCAGCAAGACCATTCAAGAGAACTATCGGCACAGCTCTGGTATGCACTATGCTTATGACAGTCTGGAACAAACCAGAGAATAACTCTCAGTAATATGCTGCAGGATTATGGCAAGTTGAAAATCCAAATAAAATATTTATCGGACATTCTCTACACGTACCTGCTGTACGGTTAGACACCTGCCGATAATTATTAAGTGAAAAGCCACTAGACATAGTTGGAGGAATCTGCCTCGAACTAGGCAGGGAGAAAAAAAAATTTAGCACCCACAGTGTAGGAGCTATACATGCCTTCCCTTGTGAAAGGTAGTTAATGAGTGCTCTAGTTTTCCCTTTACGTCAGGACAACTAAGGCAAGGATTCTGCCGATGAAAGTTTGATATAGATAGCATTAGGGAATTCTAAGAGCATCTAAATATGGGGAACCTTATAACGATGGGTACATAGCAAAGTTGGCACCATTGCAATATGCCAATGTTAGTATTCGTAGAGTAGGACACCGCTGGGCACTTGTGTAATCTGCTTGATGCTCTAGATGACCCATAGCCCGTTCAGATCATAAAACCAAATGCTAACCCCACACCCCACGTACAAAAAAAGTTATCCTACGAGAACAATTTAGTTTTTTCCCAGGCCTGGTGGCCTGGTGGCTAAAGCTCCCGCTTCATACACGGAGGGCCCGGGTTCGATTCCCGGCGGGTGGAAACATTTCGACACGTTTCCTTACACCTGTTGTCCTGTTCACCTAGCAGCAAATAGGTACCTGGGTGTTAGTCGACTGGTGTGGGTCGCATCCTGGGGGACAAGATTTAGGACCCCAATGGAAATAAGTTACAGTCCTCGATGACGCACTGACTTTCTTGGGTTATCCTGGGTGGCTAACCTCCGGGGTTAAAAATCCGAATGAAATCTTATCTTATCTTATTTGACCTTCGAGAAACGGAGGGGGTTCAGTTCGGTGTAGGAATACAGACACGAGGACACTGGTGATGCATCACTGGTAGTACAACAGTGGGATTAACTAAGAGTCGGATGTCGAAAATGGGTTAATCGGCTGGAGTCAAAGGATTACAAGTTCATTTAGTATTCTCTGATGCGAGGAATGCATCAATAACTTGAAACTAAAGTATGGCTGTATGGGGAGAAATAAGAGGAAGTTTAATCTTCAGTGCAACAGCACATAATGTATGCTTACACTTAATTGGCAGTAATACTGCCTTGGCCAATACATTCTGATTGTAATTTCGGCAAGTTAATTTCCACAATTTGGTATTCATGATTAGTGAAAATTAAAGTAGTTTTTAGGCGCCATACTTATGGCGTCAATGTTGTGAACCCAACAACTCGACTTCACGTTAAGGGAAAAAAAAAAAAACTCAACTTTCATAATTTACCAGCAATGCTGGTAAACTATGAAATAATGGACTATAATTTTTTTTTTGACCCGAATTTGAGCTGTTGGGTTCACAACATTGATGGACAAACATGGCGCCTAAAGACTAGGTAAAATTTCTCATTACTTTGATTATGTGCATTGAAAATTTTATAGGTCAGTTTTTACGTACGTACATTGTGGGGGGGGGAACCTCTAAAGAGGTATGGGGTAGAGTTTTCCACAACATCGCACCAAGCTCTGAGGTACAACATTAGAAAGTACAATAAATTAGTTCTTGTCAAGTAAAAAAGGACAAGTACAACTAATGACATTTTATTGTGGCAACGTTTCGCTCTCCAGGAGCTTTACGTTGCTGCTGACCATAGCATGTTTTTGAATGCAGTTCACCCGCTAGGCACTGGTGGGTCAGTGAGAGCAGAGAGGCAGGTCGGCTGATGGCGCTTCCTATACTTTCCGTTATAATTATACGTACTAACCAGCCTACGCGAGTTTTTACCCCATCCACGTTATCGAATCCACTTGACAGCTTGACAAAGCTGGAGATCGAAACGTTGCCACAATAAAATGTCAGTTGTACTTGTGTCCTTTTACTTTACATATTTTCGGTAATTCTACCAACATACAAATTGGTTCTTAATTTTATCCCCCTTAAATTATGTGGATGAAATATTCCAGGAAAGTCTACCTCAATTTCGTACACAAGTATACATGGTCATAGCTGAATTAGGTTTCAGTTCACAGTACAATAATCAGCATTGAATTTTAAAGCTCATCTCAGGCTGTGCTAACTTCCATTGAGGAAAATCTTTTCTAGAATGACAACCCAATTTAATATCTTTACTAGGACTGAGGTCTCAGGTGGAGACTGGTCAAAAGTACCTTATACCACTTTTTTCCCCATATATTTCGTCCAGGATCGAATCCAGGTTCATTTGGTTACTATTCAAGTTTATTCTCTATAATGGTTGCAATGTGGGGTTCACAGGTTTTGGGCATTGTGTGGTTTACATGTTATAAAATAGCAATTACAGAGGGGGGCCACTAGGACACCTAGCATGGCTAAGCATTTCGAGCAGACTTATTTTAATTCTTAACATTAAGTCCTTACAGATTATAGTATTAAGGCTAAGTGACTATAATGCTCTACCACTAAACTAATGTCTAGAACATGCTAGTGTCCAGAGGAGAATTCTCTAGTATCACGGGTCTGGTAGAATTATTATATTCAAAAAGAAGCGCTAAGCCACAAGGGCTAGGGGTCTGGCAGAAGCGAATGGTAAAGGTTATATTGGGTCTGGTGGCGACAGTAGTGGTTACTGGAGACTCGTTATAGTTGTGCGCCAACTGCATGGCAATCTAAAAGCTCTATCAAGTAGTCCAAAATAATGTAGATTCAAGCCCCACTGTTAACATTAGAAGCTTCCAGTCGATCGCAAGTGTCGAATCTCACAACCATGCTAATTAATATTCGAATTACTTTTAATTAAAGCAACAATTTATGCTTTACTTCATACTACTGACTGGGTAATTAGTAGGTTAAATTAGCTGCAAGCCTAAGCGTAGAAATCAATATTTACATAACAAAAATACTAACCTAAGGAATGTGAAATTTGAAGTGGAAGAGAGAGCGATACCTTCCCACTTGGCGGCTACAGGTGGACTAAGTAACACGTCTTCCCCTTCCTAACATTATACCTCCATGAGTCACACCCGTTTTCTTTCTAATACAAGGATAGACTGTTTCAGGGACAGGAAGTCAATACTTAACTGTTGCAGCTGCCCATAACCAAGGTGAGACGGTGTATGATGGAGCATTACGATATATATCCTGAGATGTGGATGTCTCTCAGTGTACATATGTTGAAAGTTTACGTTTAACCATTATTTTAGGGACTTAAGCATTCTTGACGGGAGTTGAGCAGTTTACAGGTAGCTTAACCACAGTGTAGTCGATAGGCTTTAAACCCTCATTAACCAATTGGATCGTCCATCCATTTGCTGTCCAGACCAAGCGTAGTTGTCCTGACTGTTGGATATAACTTCCAACACCCTTCTTCCATGGATAAGGGAAATTCCCAACAAAATTTCCAGTTGTCTCCAAAGAGCAAGTTAGATAAGTCCCTCAAGTCATTTCCTGACCAGCCGGGCTGTGGTGAAATAATAATAATAATAATAATAATATCAATATTTACTACAAGTATATGTACAATGTATACAGGTCTAGCTGTATACATTGACATGTGACATACTACTATATAGAAAGCGGTTTGTTATGCAGAGCATTTCGGGCAAATTAGGTCAGTTTTGTCCCAGGGTGCGACCCACACCAGTCAACTAACTCCCAGGTACCCATTTTACTGATGGGTGAACATAGACAACCTGTGCAAAGAAACACCCCTTGCTAGGAATCGAACCCAGGATTTCACTGTATGAAGCGAGAGCTTTAGCCACTAGGCCACGGGGCCTGCTGGCACAGCGAGCAGCAACAGCTTGGTCGACCAGGCCAGGAACCTGGAGGCCTGGTCTGGGACCTACCCATAACACTCAGCAACACCACCACATTCAGCAAAAACACACTCGGCATCGCTACACTCAGCACCACCACAGCCAGCCTCCCCACACTCAGCACCACCACACTCAGCACCACCACAGCCAGCCTCCCCACACTCGGCACCACCACAGCCAGCCTCCCCACACTCAGCACCACCACAGCCAGCCTCCCCACACTCAGCACCACCACACTCAGCACCACCACAGCCAGCCCCCCACACTCAGCACCACCACAGCCAGCCTCCCCACACTCAGCACCACCACAGCCAGCCTCCCCACACTCAGCACCACCACAGCCAGCCTCCCCACACTCAGCACCACCACACTCAGCACCACCACAGCCAGCCCCCCACACTCAGCACCACCACAGCCAGCCTCCCCACACTCAGCACCTCCACTCAGCACCACCACAGCCAGCCTCCCCACACTCAGCACCACCACAGCCAGCCTCCCCACACTCAGCACCACCACACTCAGCACCACCACAGCCAGCCTCCCCACACTCGGCACCACCACAGCCAGCCTCCCCACACTCAGCACCACCACACTCAGCACCACCACAGCCAGCCCCCACACTCAGCACCACCACAGCCAGCCTCCCCACACTCAGCACCTCCACACTCAGCACCACCACAGCCAGCCCCCCCACACTCAGCACCACCACACTCAGCACCATTACGCTTAGCATCAGCACCACACTCAGCACCAATACACTCATCACCAACACACTCAGTACCACCACACTCAGCACCAACACGCTAATCATCACCACACTCAGCACCAACACACTCAGCACCAACGCTCTCAGCATCACTACACTCAGCACCACTACACTCAGCGCCAACACAGCCCCAACATACTCAGCACCGACACACTTAGCATCACTACACTCAGCACAACTACACTCAGCACCAATACACTCAGCACCAACACACTCAGCACCAACATCTGCCTACATTCTTCCTTTCATATCCCTCTCTCCTACCATCTCCCTTTTCCCTCCTTCTCACCCACCTCCCACCCTCCATACCCCTCCTTCCATGTCTCCCACCACCCTCCCTACATCTTCCTCTTCCTTCCTCCCACCTTCTATTCTTCCTCCTGCTCCATCACAACGCTCACTTCCTTTATACTTGCCTGTCCCTTGGCCCAAAATTCGAAACTGTTTTCAACGGATTCCACTTTCTCCTTCCCTATAGCACCGTCCTTTTGCCCTGCGATTACCCATCCCTCATCCAGTGCCCTTTCCCCACCACCATACCCACCGCTATCATTCCGTGGTATCCTGAAGGCTAGGAGACCCCAAGATATATCCAGTTCTCTCTCTCATTGTTCGCATCGCTATTGTGCCGTGCGGACAGGCTGCGCAGTAGCTCCTGATACAACTGGTTTACTGCGCAGTTTTCCTGTTTTGTGCATACAACATGGCGGATCGCATTGGACGCCGGGTGAGCACTGTTTGTGTGGAATTGGTGCGTGGCACGCTTACAGGAACAACCATGCACGTGTTACTGCATGCCATCATCAGTGAGGTATATGGAATACCGACCGAAGAATTATATGGAGTAGCAGTAAATGGTGTGTCGAGAATTTTCATCAAGTTTAAAGACGCAGGATTCTACACAAGCATAGTCAACAAATATCAAGAGAAGAGGCTAGCAGTGAACACTATGGTGGAAGTCTGCTTACATGATGTGTCCAGCTATGTGACGTGGGTGAAGGTACGAAACGTGCCTTTTGAGGCGACGGAGCATGATGTGACGGCGGTGTTTAGCAGCTATGGGAAAATCCACTCAGCAGTGATGGGGGTGTTGCAAAATGGACCTTATGAGGGGCTACCTGAAGGATCATTTCGCTGAAAATGACGTTGAGGCAGCCAATTCCATCATACGTATTTATGGAGGTCTTCCGAACGCAGGTCTACGTGTACTACTCAGGGCAGCGGAAGACTTGCAGATTATGTGGTTCTTTTGAACATATGGCGGCCCAATGCTATAAAAAAGCTGGACGGAGGGAACAGGTACCAGTGATCTTACAACAGAGGAATGCTCTGGAGGTGTCGGAGGAAGGAGTAAGGCCAAACAAGATTCCTTGCCGATGGAGTGACGAAGTGGATAGGGCTGAGGCGGCCATGGAGGAAAGTGTAACACTAACAGTTGATAAGGGACAGACGACATCGACGTCTGATGAGGAGGGTACGGGCCAACAGGATGGCTTGCTGGAGGAAGTACTTAGTTCCTTTTTGCATGACGTTGAAGAGGGACATGAGTGAGCTACTTAAGTCCCAATATGACTCAGTTTTTAGCAAGCCGCTAACCAGACTGAGAGTCGAAGATCAAAATGAATTTTTTATGAGAGAGCCACAAAATTTGATTAACACAAGCCTATCCGATGTTATCCTGACGCCAAATGACTTCGAACAGGCGATAAATGACATGCCTATGCACTCTGCCCCAGGGCCAGACTCATGGAACTCTGTGTTCATCAAGAACTGCAAGAAGCCCCTATCACGAGCCTTTTCCATCCTATGGAGAGGGAGCATGGACACGGGGGTCGTCCCTCAGTTACTAAAAACAACAGACATAGCCCCACTCCACAAAGGGGGCAGTAAAGCAAACAGCAAAGAACTACAGACCAATAGCACTAACATCCCATATCATAAAAATCTTTGAAAGGGTCCTAAGAGCAAGATCACCACCCATCTAGAAACCCATCAGTTACACAACCCAGGGCAACATGGGTTTAGAACAGGTCGCTCCTGTCTGTCTCAACTACTGGATCACTACGACAAGGTCCCAAATGCACTAGAAGACAAAAAGAATGCAGATGTAATATATACAGACTTTGCAAAAGCCTTCGACAAGTGTGACCATGGCGTAATAGCGCACAAAATGCGCGCTAAAGGAATAACAGGAAAAGTCGGTCGATGGATCTATAATTTCCTCACTAACAGAACACAGAGAGTAGTCGTCAACAGAGTAAAGTCCGAGGCAGCTACGGTGAAAAGCTCTGTTCCACAAGGCACAGTACTAGCTCCCATCTTGTTCCTCATCCTCATATCCGACATAGACAAGGATGTCAGCCACAGCACCGTGTCTTCCTTTGCAGATGACACCCGAATCTGCATGACAGTGTCTTCCATTGCAGACACTGCAAGGCTCCAGGCGGACATCAACCAAATCTTTCAGTGGGCTGCAGAAAACAATATGAAGTTCAACGATGAGAAATTTCAATTACTCAGATATGGTAAACATGAGGAAATTAAATCTTCATCAGAGTACAAAACAAATTCTGGCCACAAAATAGAGCGAAACACCAACGTCAAAGACCTGGGAGTGATTATGTCGGAGGATCTCACCTTCAAGGACCATAACATTGTATCAATCGCATCTGCTAGAAAAATGACAGGATGGATAATGAGAACCTTCAAAACTAGGGAGGCCAAGCCCATGATGACACTCTTCAGGTCACTTGTTCTATCTAGGTTGGAATATTGCTGCACTCTAACAGCGACAGCATCGTGGAGTTCGACCGCGAGGCAGCTGTCAGGTGTGCCACAGGCAGTGTGTACTCAGTTCCTCAAGCTTCAACATCCGTGCACACGAGGGCCTGGGATCTTCAATCAACTTGGCGTCCACCAGGACGCTGACATGTCCCTAGGGGAGCTCTTCATCGGGCTGCTAACGGAGTCACTGGCTTCTTGGACCTCTTGGGGATGGTCGATGGTGCTCGTGCAAGCAGCAGATCCCAGGGCAACTTGCTGCTGTTTGCAATGGCTGTCTACCGAGGAGAGACAGGCACCTAGCAACATCTGTTGTTGGGGCAATGGATGAATTCCCTGCTATGTTTGTTTACTGTTCATTACTCTGTAATTTGTCTATGATTGTAATCATGTGATAACGTGTTTATCATTCATTACCTTTGAAACTTGTCATGATTGTGACCAGCTCTACCTGGAGCTCATTACCTTTGTAAATTCTCATGATTAATCTGTTTATGATTCATTACCTTTGCAATTATTCATGAGTGTGACCAGCTCTACCTGGAGCTCATTACCTTTGTAACTTGGTCATGATTATGACCAGATCTAGTTCATTACCTTTGTAACTTGCTCAGCTATGAAAACTTTGGAGTCCAGTCCCTGGACCAATTATGTACCTCTGTAATCTTTTGACTACCGCCCACAGGATGGGTATGGGGT